TTATTTTTACAAATAATAAAATTATTTAAATGAATTCATATATTTTCATAAATAATAAAATTTTTCGAAGTAATTAAATTATATTTAATACAATTTGAAATAAATTCCTCGAAAAATGCAATTATTCTTAAAAATTTTTTTTAAATTCTTCGAAGGAATTTAATTTTAATAAATTACATTTTCTATTTTTGTATTTAAATAATTGAATTCTCTTAGAAATTTTTGACCAAAATATTGATTTAAAAGTGAATTTTAGTTAAAATTTTGGATAATAATTGAGTATTACAAGCGTTATAGTTATAAATTTACAGAAATAATTAAATTTTAAAAGATTTTTAAATTAAAGCATTTGAAAATTTTAATTGTTGTAAAACTAATAATATTTAAATATTTGTTTAACAAAAATTATTCAAGTTTTGAATAGTTTAATTTAGAAATTAGTTTTTTCAATTTTAATTTTTACTTGGAAGGATAATAAAATTATTTAAATTCTCAGTAGTAAAAGCCTGTGCCAGTCAGATGAAATTCTCGAATTCTTGATAATTTTTAATTAGTCGTAAGAGTGAGTTTCATTTCTAGAGTGACAATTTCCAAGGTCTTGTGAATTTATTAAATTTAATATCAGTAGTAAAAGTCATTTTTAGTCAGACGGCGCTTTTAATTTTATTAATTTTGGTGCATCAAGTAACAGACATATTTTGTCAGGTTTTTTGCAATTTTAATTTTTTGAATTAGTAGTAAGAGCATAGTTCAGTTTGACGGGAAAATTTTTTTATTTTCGGCAGATCAATTTTTTCATCTGCAGTTTTTGTATCAGTAGTAAACGTCTTTTTCAGTCAGACTCGGAATTTTTCTACTTTTGGTACATAAAGTATTTTCGTGTTAAGTTTGTTGTATTAGTAGTAAAAGCGTGATTCAGTAAGACTACAAATTTTTCTCATTTTCTCAGATAAATTTATTTTTTAATTTTTTGTATATCAGTAGTAAAAGGCTTTTTCAGTCAGACTCGGAATTTTTTTCTTCCTTATGTTTAGCAGTAAAAAATAGTTATAAGCTGATTTAAAGACTTTGTAAATTTTTGATAAGTAGTAAGAGCAAATTTCAGTCAGACAGCATTAATGTACTCAATTATTTAATTTTTATTATTCAGTTAATTTATTATAATATTTTTTATCAGAATAAAAAGTTTAATTCTATCTGAATTTTTTAAATTAAAGATATAATATTTAGTGGATAAGGTAGTAAATAGAGAAGGAAGGATTCTGATAAAGGATATAATATTTAGTGAAAGTCATAATTATATAATCAGACTTTCTGAATAATTAAAAAATAAAATTTTAATTTAAATAAAAAAATAAACTGTCAGTAGTTTAAGTTGGTTATCGTTAGCAATTTTAGTTTTCGTATACTTTCAGAAATTTCCTTCGTTTTTAATTAAATATATTGCTCGATTTTTTTTCTTCCTATTATTTTTTCGAAACTCAAATAAAGTTGGTTTGCAATAAACGTATTTTTATAAATTTTTTTTCAATGTTTCTTTAAGAAAATTTTGTAAATTAATTTCTCATTTTCAATATTCTGCAAGAGAATTTCCGTTCTTTGTTTTTTTTTCATAATTCTTCCATTCTTTCACCGCGTGTTTAACTTCCACTTTAAACCTGTTGTTTCTTTATCGTAAAATAAATTTTTTATCGAATTATTTTCTACTTGAAAAAATAATATGAATCAAGATGTGGATATAATTTCCAAGAATAATTTAAAATTTAAAATAAAAATAAATTTTAATATAATAATAATTATCAGAATATATCATAAAAATTCGATTTGTTCTGTTTAGAATTGTGCGGTTGTAAAAATAAGTGTTTTATGGAAATTGTTCGATTGTAAAAGACATATTATGAGATCAAGGTATTTTTTTTCTTGACCTTTTTTTTAACAAGGTTTTTTGAAATCGGCAATAAAGATATAATGTTATTAAAAAAATAAAGGTTAACCATCAATGGATTGTATGGATAAGTATAATATGCTTTCTCTAGTGGATTATTTGAATATAGAAGTATCAATTTTTAAAAGTGGATCGTCAATGTGAATTATACTTGTGCGGTTTTTATAGAGTCATCATTATTTTTATCCTTTTTCTTAGAGGTAAATTTTTTTTTGTGAATATCTCTCCACACCATTATTCAATAACAAATCGTTGTGGAATATCCTTTTTCAACTATATATGAGTATGAATAGGTAAATTATTTTATGATCGATTTTTATGGATGGATTTGTTCTTTAAGCTTCTCGAGAGGAAGAAATTCAGAATTTTATTAAAAGAATATAGAAACTATGGAAATTTACTTCTCTCAGATATAAATTTTATCTGCGATATTTTACTTTTTTTAAATTCTTCGTTAACATGTTGCATCTAAAAAAATTTATTTGATTCAAATATCCAAGTAAATTCTGTTATCAAATATATATTTACTTGAATCAAATAATTTTTACTTAAATCCAATAATATTTATTTTTATACATATTTTTTTTGTTCTAGAAAAAGTTTTTTATATTTATTATTTTTTTTGGTGAGATAAGAAAAGTTCAAATTAAGCGATGAGAGATGACTTTCTTCTCTCTCAATATGATTCAATCTAATCTTTTTGTAATCCCGACAAACTCCTGCGTAACTTTTGTAATATTGCGTATAATCCCTTTCAATAATCTGCGACTCCAGTTACCATTTTAATCCTCCGTGTAATTTTCCCTATTATAATCTCAAATGATTCTCAAATTACATTTGCGAATTATATATCTTTCTCTTCATTCAAATACATACAATTTATTTGTAAATTAATAATTTGTAAATAAATAAATTTTTTTATTTACAGAATATTTAGTATTATTAGCTTTTTAATAATTTTTTAACTTGTAAAAGTATAAATAATGAAATTGTTAAAAGTACCTATAATATTTATTTTTCATAATTTTTGTCGAATCTAATTATTTAAAATAATTACTATCTTATTAAAGACTACAACATAAATTTAAATTATCGAAATATATTTTACAAAATATTTACAATATTATTTATTTATTTAATACAATTTTTATTGCATAAAGATGTTGTCTAATATATTGTTTATTTTATAAATTTTTAACATGTCTTAATTTTTATGTGACGAATTTAGAATATATTTTTTTTAATTTAAAGCATCATTGTATTATTAATATTTATGCGCATTGGACTAAATTAATAGTAAAATTTTTTTCCTCTCATTAAAAAAAATACGGTGGTGGAAATATTTTCAGTAAACATCTATAGATAGAAATTAGGAAATACAATTATTTTCTATTATATGATTTACTCGAGACGATGAAACTGAGCATGAAATATCTGAAAAGAGAAAATTGAGAAAATTCCTATTAATTTTTGTGTGGCATTTGCGGAAACGAATTAGGTTTCTTCTTCCTCTTTTTTTTATTTTTGTCGCATCACGTGCGCGTCTTTACTAACCGTTTTAACTTGAAATCGATGGTCGTAGACGGCAGGTAATTGCGATAAGAGTTCGTCGCACGTTACAAGCCGTGTTGCTACTATCACAAGATTGCGAAACTGTCTCGTCTGATGGATCGATGCACGAGCTCCGTCCCAAAATGAACCCCAAAGCTCTCTCTCTCTCTTTTTCTCTCTCTCAAACTGTTTTTGTTTAGTTACAGATGAACGTGATTCTTCCTCGTGGAATTAACTTAATCCTTCATTTCATTTCGTTATAATTTTATAAATGGAATTTTTTGTTCTTAAAAATTACTTTTTGTTGTAAAAAAAAATTTTTTTTGATGTAGCATATAATTTTTTGTTGAAAAAAAATATTTATTCTGTTGGAAAAAATTAATTTTTGTTGCAAAAATATTTATTTTGTTGGAAAAAATTAATTTTTGTTGGAAAAAATTAATTTTTGTTGCAAAAATATTTATTTTGTTGAAAAAAAATTAATTTTTGTTGCAAAAATATAGTTTTTTGATTAAAAAAATTATTTTTTGTTTCAAAAACATATTTTGTTGTAAAAAATTAATCTTTGTTGCTGAAGATTAAATTTTTTGAATCTAAATTGTTTTTTTTAATTTCTATGAATTAATTTTTTGTTAACGGAAAAAAATAATGTCCACAAAATTTTTATTGTTATTGCAAATAGAAATTCACAATTTAAGTTTTACTATAAAAGTATAGTAATAATTACTTTTATCTGATTTATTTGTTTTTCGTGTATTTCTTTTACCTAAAAATTTTTTGTTTGTTTACAAATATTGTTTTACTTTAAAAAAAAATTTCGTTCGTTGTTTTGTTCTTAAAAATTCATTTTTTATTCCCAACAATTGCTTTGCTTCCAAAAAATTTTGTTTTGTTCTGCTTTGTTTCTAAAATTTTCTTGTTTGTTTCCAAAAATTATTGTATTTACAAAAAAAATTTATTTTTTGTTTCCACAAATGAGTAAATTGTTTTCATTCAAAAAAAAAGTTTGTGTTCTTCCTAAAAATTTTATTTTTGTTCCCAAAAATCGTTTTACTTCGAAAAAGTTTTCTTTTATTTTATTATGTTTTCTTTTATTCCTAAAAATTATTTTTTGTTTCCAAAAATTGTTTTACTTCAAAAAAAATCTTGTTCATTTCGTCTCGTTCTTAAGTATTTTTTTTTTGTTCACGAAAATTGTTTTGCTTTCATAAAATTTTGTTTTGTTCTGCTTTGTTCCTACAAGTTTCTAGTTTTTTTTCCAAAAAAATTGTTTTATTTTCCAAAAAGAATTTCTTTTGTTCCTAAAAATTTGTTTCCAAAAATACTGTTTTCCTAAAAAATTTTCTCCGCTAAAATATTTTTCCTATATTTGCGAGAGAAGCAAAAAATTCATAGAAACATCCGCTCCTTAATGACTATGTAACCATTAATTAGCGAGAGAACGTTAATTATTTAGCCCCCGCACCATTTGTAGAAATTAAGTAGCTTTGTTATTTTTTTCCAGGTTCTGGTCAGCTTTTCAGAGCAACTGGAAGACAGTTCTGACAGTGCAATGTGCTTCATAAACACGTGTGTCAGCAGTGATGCCATTCATTTAGATACATTTTAATTTTCTCTTCATTCCTTAAAATTAGGTACAAAAAAAAGAGAGAGGACAGATTCTTTTCTTTTTTTCATCACGATGCCAGTATATGTTCCTTTAATTAGATTTTTTTCTCATAATAATTTTTCTTCTTCATGAAGAAAAGTAACTTTAGAGAAGTTGATTTTAACTTTACTCGAGAGTTGTCTTTTCATCAGAAATTTTTTTTTTCTATTTTCTTATTGGAATTTTTTAATTCAATTTGGTTTAGGACTGTGAATCTTTCTAGTGTTCTTTTTTTTTAGATATTTGTTTAGTGTTTTAAGTTAATTGTTTCTAGTTTTAAGTGGTATTTAAGAGATCGTCAAATGTACAATTATCTTTCGAATTAATTATAGGAATGGCTGCGGTATTTTTAGTTGGAATAATTTTTTAATTCAGCTAAATAAACATTTAAATTAAATATTTTTGTTTTCGAATTCAACAAAGTATAATTGGCTCGAATATTATTAATTGGATGAAAAAATGTATTAAACATAATTTGATTTAGATAAATATTTATTTTGCTGAAATATATTTTTTTGGTTTAAATAAGTATTTATTTGGTTTCGAAAAATGTTTAGTTAATTTAGATAAATATTTGTTTATTTTAAATAAATGTTTGTTTTAAATAAAATATATTCTTGGTTTAAATAAAATATTTTCTTGGTTTAAATAAAATATTTTCTTGGTTTAAATAAATATTTATTTAGTTTAAATAAAATGTTTATTTAGTTTAAATAAAATGTTTATTTGATTCAATTTAAACATTTTCTCGAAAATTATTCCAAATGAATTTTTTCAATTTATCGAGATGAACTTTTTTGTTTAACATTGTATTCTCTGATGTTTTCATTGGTTTTTCAATGAGGAGCAAAAAAAGAATAAAATTTTTTTGTTGTCAAAGATAATCGAATAATTGGAAAGGAAAAAAATCGATAAGACGAGAAACTGGGTAATTTGTGGGGAAAAGAGAGACGTGATAGTAAGAAATTTGATTTTCTTAAACGATCGAAACGAAAAGAAACTCAAGTGCACTTAGAAAGAAAGACTCTGTATAGTGCTCTGACAAGGTTTACGCTTTTCTTCCATTTTCCTTTATGTTGTATTCCTCTCCTTTTTTTTACAACTCTTCCTGAATTTTCGATTTGCAATTTCCTCTTTTTTCATGTTCTCGAAAAAAAAAACAAATAGTTTTCCATCCTTAAAAAGCATTACCAACAATAAAAATAGTACTTTTGCTTTATATTTTCTCGAAAAAAGAAAGAGTTTTTCTTTCAAAGAGTAATTTATATAAAATCGAGAATAACATTTGTAAACAATTTTGCAATAAATAAATAAATAACAATTTTTTGTAAGAGAAAGAAAAAAATTATTTAAAAATTCAAAAGGAAAAAATTTTGAGTTAGAGAAAATTCTAAATTTTGTAATTTCTTTTCGTTTTTACTAATAATTATTACCGCAGCCAAATATTTATAGAATAATTATTCTTTGCGTCGTCAGTGAAAGTGAGATTTGTTTGTAGGGTGCTATCGATAATTACGCTTATTATTAAAAAAAAAAATCGTATTCGAAAATTATTGTTAAAATTAGTATTTAGAAAAAGAAATAAGAACAAATTTTTTATATCGAAAGAATTCTCTTTGTAATGGTTGTATATTTTTTCAGAAGTGACGTCATAAAAATTTTCGATTTAATTTTAAAACTAGGTTAAGACGGTTCTTTTGCTAATAAAATACAGACAGAAAATCAATATAATGTGACAAGACTTTTTTTTGTGCAAAAAAATTTATTAAAAATTAAAATACTTACAAACTTTTTGTATTTTAATTTTTAATTTTCTTTATCTTATTTTAAATATTGTCGTTATAATTTGATATAAATTTATGCATGATAATTTCTGACATATTTTCATTTTATATTTATTATTACCATTATTAAATTTATTGTCATTTATTATTACTAAATTACTAAATTACTAAATTACTAAATTACTAAATTACTAAATTACTAAATTACTAAAAAATAAAAAATACTAAGAAAAAAAATTAATAAAATATGAAAATTACTAATAAATAAAAATACTATCAGTAAAAATTGCTAGTAAATAAAAATTAGGAAAGAATAGAAATACTACAAAATAGTAAATATTAAATATGTAATAATTTTTTTTCCTGATTTTCTTTTTCAGAATAAGGTGAGTAACCCTATAATGCGAGAGAAAAGAGAAAAAAGAATATATTTATCTGAAAAAGACGGTTGTGAGAGAAAATGATGATGATGAGGAGTGGAAGAAAGTATATGATTGAAATATTAGGATCGTTAGGGAAAATCTTTTTTCCTCTAAAATGACTAATAGACACAATTGGTCAGCGTGTTTTTACTTGAACATCCCACAATCAAGTCAGTTTGATCCAGCTGATGCCGGTGTAAAAGTAGACAAGGTCGTGTATTTACCGGCACACCTAAATCATTCTATTTTTGGTTCTCTCTTAAAGACTTTGGGTTGGACTGCGTGAGCTAACAATGAACTTGGGTCAAATTTTCTTCATTCAAAGGTAAAGTCAATTTCATTAAATTTATTTTCAACTTTTTTTTTATATGTATACATTCTCATCAAATAAAGATGGTATTTTATTTAAGGAATAATCCACGATGAACGATCGTAGAAAAATGGTTGAAGTTGATTTCGTACTTTTTGCTATTTTCAATTTTTGGTAAATTTATTTTACTTCAATATTAAAAATTAAACATAATAATTTTTATTTGATAATATTATAAGTTAACATAATAAGTTTGATTCAATAAAAATTACGTTTAATTCAAACACATTTTTTTGATTCGATACTTATTTTTGGATTAAAAAATAGTAAAAACATAAAAAAATACTAAAAAATGGATTAAAAAAATTTGTTCTCATTGAATAATAAAAATTTTCATGTTTTGATTAGTAAGTCATTGCTGACTGATTTTAATATTGTAAATTACATTATAATTTGCGAAAAAATTATTTTCTCTATTTATCTCTTTCTTTCTTTAACTAGATTTTTGTTTCTCATAAAATTTCTCTTATCCAAAATAAAATCCCCTTCTTTTTCGTCAAGAAAATCCCTCTTTCTTCTTCTTTTACTTCGAAATCGACTTTCTTTGTTTTTCCTTTTATAGTATCAGAGAACTGAATGCAGGTATCTCTATAGCTGTAAAACAGAAGAAAGAAATCTCTCCCTCTCTTTAAAGGTCAGAGATAGTAAATAATACGTTTCATAAATAAATTTGTAAAATTTTCATTGGTTTTATATTATTGTGAAAACTGTAAACTTATTGAAGGTTAATGTTCACAAGAGTGTTGAACTTTGAGTGTAATTTTCAGTATCAATACATATTATAAAACAATCAGTGGCGACGGCATCAAAATATTTTCGCAATTTTATTTTTCTTTTCTATGTTCGCCAGTGGTGATCAATTTATAATTATTAATTAAAATTAGAATCATAATTATAATTTCAATAGTAATTCTAATTACAATGATAATTATAATTAAATTATAATTCTAATTCTAATTACAAATATAATTAAATTATAATTATTATGATTAGAAATAATTATATATTTGAAAAAAAATTCCAAATTATCCTATTTTAAAATTGTGGTCACTTTATAAGCAAACATTTCCCCGATATAAATTTTGATGCAAAATCAATTCTGCAAATTATTAGGTATAATTTAAAATATTTTAAAAAATAGTAAATTTTAGTTATTTTGGAAGAAATTTTCGAATAAAAATAACTACACTGAGAAACATTTTTTTAAATCCGAAAATAAGTAGTCAACCAAAAAATATGCTTGAATTAACCATATTTTATAATTGAATTAAACGTAATTTTTAAATAAATAAAAATAAAATAAATATTTAATATTATTATATTAATAATAAATATTTAAAATAAATATATTATTATATATTTATATTATTATAATATAAATATTGAATCAAACTTATTATGTATTGAATCCAAATTATTAGGATTAATTCAAAAATAATTAATTAATAATAATTTTATATGTTAAAATAAATAATCACTGAGTCGATAAAATGAACGGTAATTTATTAATTATTAATATTATTAATAATTATATAATTACAAAATTCAAGGGAGAAGAATTGTTAAATATTTTTTAATTGAAGATAATAGCGGTTTGAATATAATTATTAATTAAACGATAAATTTTGTAATTCAAATTTTTGTTCAAAACACTAAAAAAATCCAATTTTGGAAAAATTACAAATAATTGCAGAAATTCAATTATTTTCAAGAGTGATAAAATTCTTCTCATAAAATTCAATTATCTTACAAATTTAAAAAAAATTTTTGTCAAAATCCCAATTATCTTTATAAACAACAAAATTCTTCCCCAGAGTTCAATTATTTTTAAATCAATTTCAAATTCCCAATAATAGTACGCAAACATTTAATTATTTTCATATAAAAATTTCTCAGGAATTCAATTATTTACAAATTTTTTATAAAATCGCAATAATTCAATTATTTTTATAAATAATAAAATTTTTTCAATTATTTTCATAAAAAATAATTTAAAATTGTAGAAAATAATAATTGATTTGAAATGATGAAAATAATTTTAAATTGAATTTAAAAAGATTTGAATTTGAATGTTTTGAAAAATTTTAATTCCTACGGAAAAATAATATTTAAATATTTATTTTAAAAAAAAGTTATTGATGTTTTCGAATAATTTTACAATTAAAGAAATTCGTAAATAAATTCCTAACAGAACATTTTTTTGAGTAAAATATTTCCTTTATTTTCTAAAAATTTAAAAAGTTTCAATTTCATTTGTCAATTAAAATTTGTAATTGAAAAATAGAATAGAATATGTAATGTTTCTTTTCCAAAAGAAAAGAATGAGTTTCTGAACAGTATTGTTATTGAGAAATATAAATATTAAAATGCGTTTTTATTTTCTATTTCTAAATAATAATTTTTTAACAATTAAAAATTTTCTATTTTTTATAAATAAAAAGGAGAAAAATTTGCATAATTTAGATCAGTCAAACGAAATTTGTTATAGAAAAAAGCTTATAATAAACAAAATTTATTTGTTAATTAAAATTTTTTTATATTTTCTAATTTCAAATATTGTTTTATTATAAATCATGAATAAATACCTGCATATTTTCGAACTGCCAAACAATATTTTTTAAAGAATTAAAAACAAAAAAAAAACATCGTTCAGGATTTTTTTAAAGTAATTTTTGACTAATTAGCATTTAAATTTAATTAGTATTAAAATTTAATTAGTATTTAAATTAATAGTTTTAATAATATACTGATTATCAGTACATTTTTTAAATTAACATAATTAGACAAATTTAACTAATTTTCCAGTTGATTTTTTACTAATAATCAGTTATTTTTTCGCATAGATAATATTTTATTTCTTACTGATTGCAAATGCAAAAAGTCAGTTAGTAA